TTTGAATATAGCTTTAAGCACAACATGCTAGCTATAATTCGTTGTTTAATAGTTGCAACAGTTTGACTTTCACGTTTGTCAATGCATAACTTTGACCGTAATTATATTTAATTACGTATTAGTAAACAATATAAAATTGATATTTTGGAAATTCACGTTAATAAAAATTTAATACGGAGTAACATTTTATACTCCCTCCGTTCTTTATTATATGTCCTCTTAGGCATTGGCACGAGTTTTAAGAGGAAAATAATAGAGGTAATGTAAAAGGTGTGGTGGGTTGTGGGTAAATAAAGAAAAGTATGAAAGATAAAGGGGTAATAGTGATAAAAGTGTGGGTATAAAGGTATTTTGATGAAAAAAACTTACCAAAAAGGTAAAGAGAGACCAATAATTAAAAACGTCCCAAAAAGGAATGCGAGACAACTAATAAAGAATAAAGGGACTCAAGGGAGTATCTAATAGAGAAAGTTCCCGAAATAGGACTAAAACAGTTTGAAAATTCCAAAATAGGACTGTCATGTTTTTTATTCCAAAATAGGAGTAATTACTGTCAAGTTTGGAAAATACTGCCATGTTTGAAGTCTGGTACTGCAAAAACATGACAGTAATTAGTCCTATTTTAGGAATAAAAATATGACAGTCATATTTTGGAATTTTCAAACCTTTTTAGTCCTATTTCGGGTAATATTCTCTATCTAATACGGAGTAGTTTTTTTTGTTACAACGGAAATAAAGTATCTAATAGTTTGATTAATTATATTAGTAGAAAATGACGGTCAAAATAATGTGTGAATATTACAAAAATCCCAATGTTGCAACAATTAAAGAAGGAAGTATATTGGTATTAGATTTATATTCAAAACCTACATCCATATTGCACCGTGTCGTAATTGCTAATTGGTACTCCATATATGACACCGGTGCCATATATGGAGTACCAATTGACAATTAGAAATTTGCTTAACGTACACCCTGGATACACCCAGATGTACACTCTGAGGCCGTTTTGGCAACACAGTTTTTCCGCTTATCAGCCAACTTTTTCACCAAACACATAACTTTTGCTTTTGCGTGCTGAATTGTGTAATAAGTAGAAAAAGTAAGATTGTAGTTGCTTTTCTGGCTGTATTGGCTGAAGTTACCGTAGATGAACATTTTAGCTATTTTTAGATATATTTTTTCTTTATTTTATTAATAAAATATATTTAATATTTCTTTTTCTTATATCAGCAGAATCAGCCAATGCAGCCACTTCAACCAGAACTTCATAAATTTCAGCAGAATCAGCCAAAACATCCGATTTTCGTGCTACCAAACGGGCTCTCTATATAACCCCCCATTTTTTACTTTCCTACTTCCCCATTTTCTCTCTCTCCCTCCTCCCCTCTTCAGTCATTCACACACCCTCCCTTTCCCTCTTTGTCTTCTTCTTTCTTTGTTTCTTTCTTTCTTCTTCGTCATCATCATCTTCGTCTTCTTTTTCTTTACTTTTTTTTTCCCACGTTTTATTCACCATCGTCATCTCCACCATCATTTTCACCGAAAAATTGTTGTTTGAAAATGATCAGAAATTCACCGGAAAGTCATCGAAAATTTAGAGCCACCGGAATTTTTATCGGTATATAAATAGTGTATGTAAGGTGTACCATGCTAAATAATGATGAGTATTGTATGTAATGAAAGATGAAACTAAAAAAACTATTAGCATTATACGTAGTATAAATTTTCGCCATAGACAAAAATGAATGCGTGCCGACACTGGTTTTGTTTTAGTGTCTGTGTACAGAGGCAAAAAAATATTATAAAAAAGTGAGGGTTAGATTGCACCAAAACAGGTGTGTACATTAGACAAAAATTTTTGTATATTTACAGACATTTATTTGTTACCTAGACAATTAACAACTAATGTATGCGTACCCCGACGTTGGTTTACATGCAACCAACCTAACAGATCTGCAATAAAGTAAACCAATTGACGAATATAATTTTGTTCACATCGATAATTTGTCGAAAGTATTTGTACGAGAATGACAAATAAAGAGGATGTAACCTAGGATGTCACCCTGAGACTCATTGATTTTTTAAGTAAGTTCTCTAATTTTCAATATCTAAATTCCGAACCTAAGAAGATGTTCTGTTCGTCTTATTCTTATTACTTATTGCTTATTCATATTTTATTCAAATCAGATCAGATAAGAAAAATTCAGATCAGAACAGATCAGAAGCATTTAGATCAAATCAGAAAAATTCATATCAAATCAGACCAGATCATAAACATTCAGATCAGATCAGAAAAGTTCAGATATGATTTATCCCTTTTATTATAATACTCCCTCCGTCCCGATATAAAGAGTACATTTGCTTTTTCACACATTTTTTAATAAAGATCACATTCTTTGACACTGTTTAAACATTGTTTGACACTGATTTGTTTGCAAAAAAAAAAAGGAAAATGTGTCTTTTATATAAGGACGACCCAAGAAGGAAAATATGTCTTTTATTCAGGGACGGAGGGAGTAATAATTATAATTATGGTAATAATAATATTTATAATTATTATTATTAATTATTATTATTATTATTCTTGTTATTATTATCAGTATCACCATCACTATCACTATCACCATTACCATAACCATCATTATCACCATCACCATCACCATCACCATGACCATCACCATTATCATCACCATCACCATCACCATCACCATCACCATCATCATTACCATTACTATTACCTTTATCATTATCATTACTATTATGTTCGCTATTACGGTTACTATTACGATTACTATTACTATTACTATTACTATTATCAATACTTCTACTGTTACTGCTACTATTACTATTACTACTACTATTACTATTACCACTAGTATTGCTACTAGTATTACTACTACTATTATTGTTATTGTTGTTATTATTATTATTATTATTATTGTTATTCTTATTGTTGTTGTTATTGTTGTTGTTATTGTTTTTGTTATTATTATATTATTATAAGTAATTATAATTATAGAAATAAATTTATAATTATAATTACAATTATAATTATAGAAATAGATATAATAGAAAATTTAATTACATTTATAATTATAGCTATAGTTATAATTAGTGTAATAGGTATAATAATAATAATTGTACATGTTATAATTATAATTTTAATTTTAATTGTGATTTTAATTATAATTATATGTTTTTTTGAAGAGGGGGGCTTATATTGAAATCAAAGCAATATCGTTCAGAAAGGGAGTAAACTGAGTAAAAGACCACAGACACTCGTCAGCGCTCAAACCAGACTTGGAGTTAATCACCTTCAAACAAGCAATATAACTCGTTGATCCATTAATGAGCAAACCTGAATCACAGACGATTGAAGTATCTAAACTCACATCATCCTAATGCAAGAATCTTACAATAAAAAACAATATCAACAAAACAAAAAACAGTATGATTGAAGAAAGCGACAATAAAAAATGCAGAAAAATAAACATTCCTTTCCATCTTCACAAGCACCCTCACAGATCCGCCGCCGGAACTATCTGCATCCTTAAGCGAAATGGCGGACCTATAGGTTGAGGTCCGCCTCCTCCCCATTTTTTGCCTATCCAGTGCCATATCTTCACCGGTTGGGTCTCCCTGTATGTTTTTCCCCCATGTTCTTCAATGCTTCTGCTCTCCCGACCCCTCCGTTTGACTCACTAAATTCCCTTCCTTGATAAAACTAGTTCCCGTGCATGTGGTAGCTTCCTTCCAGTCCTGCCCCCATGTGTCCTGTTTATCTAAAGCCCCATATCAGTACTGAAGGATCCTTCAATCAATCACCTATTCCCCTATCGGACTAGTCTTCACCCCCCAACTCTAAGATCTACTCCATAAGTTTTACCAAAAGTGATATTCTCTCCCTCATACACTACCATGCAAACTTTATCAGAATGCTCAATAATTCTACACACAAAGCAAAACTTAGGGAGTTTTTCATATTTAAAATCCACCCATTGGCTAATCCCCACCTTTTTCAGAGTAGTTACTTTTTTCAGAGGTCTCCTAACATCCATATGGACTCTAATTCTCATATATCCCTCCCATTTTCATCAGACCGACGATCATCATAACTAACAAACTTCCCAATATAATTGCCTATGCGTCTAGCTGAACCCAAATTCATAAACCATATGCAATGTTATGTACTTGAACCCAAAAATCAGCCTCATAAAGACTAATCTGTTAAGGAATATCCTCTGCTTTGATTTCTTTAAGAAGTAAAAGATTTCTTTCCAATAACCACGGACCTTCATCAAGAATATGCCTCAATCTAGAGTATGGTAAAAAAATAAAGATATACCTCTTATCACCAATTTATTTGATAGATACACATTTGACGGTCTCCATAACGATGCCTTTAATTCTTTGAAGAATTGGAATTTGATCTTCTGATCCGTAAGAATCATGCCCAATACCGGGAGGATCGCTTTTCCTTTGATCGCCGATTGCTCTCCTTCATCATCGTCATAACAAATAAGCTTTTCTTTGTCCTTGCCAATAGCAATCTGTTTATATTGATTAACAAAGCCTTCCATTTAAAAAACCCCTTTGTGTCGCACAACCCGACTTCCTGCAACGGAAACCGCCGAAGAGAGATAAGCAACTCGCAACCTGCAACACGTCCTCCACCCTTGCGTAATCGATTGCCGAAGCAGAATCGAAGCTCGTCCTCCGCCGCCGTAGAAGGTTGTCGCGACCTACAACACGTTCAAAAACCTTCCCTCCAAAACCCCCAAACCCCCCTACCGGCGGCCGCTCCTCGGAAAATCGATAGCAGAGAAATCGATGGCGGCGTTAAGCCCTAGATAGAGATTTGTTTTTGTGTTTAATAATAAGTTAAGTATAATTATATTTAAAATATTTTTATAATTAAAATTATAATTATAAGTTATAACCATGAAGATACAAATCAGAGACCAAATCAGAATGATTCGCAATTTCACACCAAATCAAGAAAAATTCAATCCTTTTAGGGCTTGTTTGCAATCAATTAAAAAAAGTGATTTAATTTTTAACAAACACTATCAACTTTTACTTCCTCGGTTTTCGCGTAGAATCTAATTTTTATTTTTTCTATTACAAACACTTATTTTAACAAACACTACCGACTTTTATACTAATTAGATCCTTGCCCGTCAGTCACTACGTTGTGAACGGAAAGCATGAATCGGGTTTGCGACAGCATCTTCTTTCTAGGTTTCCTCCCTGGTTGCCCTCTGCGCTTCATCACCTAGCCGACTCCTTTGCTTCAATTGCAGTTCAACAGCCTGCCATTATCGTTCACCCAAATAATTGCATTTATAAGCGAACTAGCTTCCTTCTCTATTGGCTCCACGGTTAACAGCAGCCAGCCATGACCGGGCGAAAATATAAGTCTCCACGGGGGAAACTCCAAAAAAGGAAACGTAATAAGAAGGAAGAGACTGCTGTCTTGCCATCAGTCCCAGAAAACCAGGAGAAAGTTTTGGAAACCAGTTCATCAGCAGACACTGAAACTATTGCTGAGTATCTTACCCGCTTTATTAAGGATACCGTTAAAGATGGTCACTCAGTTAACCAGTTTGGGATGCTTGGAAATGATGGCTCCTCTTCACCACTAAGAGGGGAATATGGCGAACCCGAAGGTCAGACTGTTAGCTCGGAACAAAATGGCCAAGAGGTGTTTGATGAATGTCGCAAAGAAACCAGAACACCAAGAGCAAATCCCCCTGGGTCAGTCTATGCATTTTATATCGGTTCTCTGAGAGTGAACATAACATCTAAACATGAAATCAGTTTCCTTAATTCTGAAAGAGTTATTATATCATTTGAAAATTTAGTAGATATAAAAATATTATCGAATTTATAAACTTTAGCAGCTTTCTATCTGATTTTCCAGTTGAACTTGTATAAAAACAAAATATGGGGTAAATTTCACTATTCTGTATTTTATACGTAGTATCACCTGTGCAAGTGAGGAATATTATAAGTCTTAAATCTATTCATATAAAATGATGTGTTTCCATAATTTTGTAATATGTAAAAGTTATGGACACACCAGGTGAATGTGTGTCACCTAAGAATGTCTCTTTTGAATGTCTGTGTTGAATACTTTCGTTTTTATGCCATCGTCACTTTAAACTGAAAAAACTGAATCCTTTTTTTATATCAGTTGCATCATTAACTGATATGTTAACGTTTTGTATCAATCAAATGGTTTTTTTATCATCAAAACAAACCACTTATATTAATATCATTAGGAATCGGATCGTTACAGTGAAATCAAAACTATCCCTAACCAACTAGCACTCAACCCTAAGTTAGACTCAGAGACGATCACCCCGAAAGAGCAATACGAATCGCTAACCACTAAGCGGCTGTGATACAGTAATCACTGGCCATAGATCCATATAGATCCTTCTAACGACATAATATCTAACAGAATTGTCAATTATAATTGTAGACCTAAAACTAGAGACATCAACAAAAAACAGAGCAACATAAAACTTAACGCGAAAATAAAACAATAAAAAATTAAATAACCGATAAATTTTCCAAACCCTAGCACCTCGATCGCTCCAAGGCGGCGGTTCAGGAGGGGGACAGACCGCCGATATGTCTTCTCCCTTGCTCAACCCTTCACCACTCATCGTGTTCTCATTGCCCGTTCCACCTCCACTATCACCACCACCCTCTACCCATGTTGATTCGTCAGAGACTAACCCTTTGACCTCCTCCTCAATTGCAGGAATGAGACAACCAGGGTAGTCAAAAGCGCGCGCCTGAGCGCTTAAGCGCACCAGGCGAGGCGCATATGAGAGTCAGCGACTGTTAGAGTCCCAGGCGCAGCCAACTGAGTGAAGCGCAAGTGAGGCGCAATAAGCGCAAAAGCGGTGAAGGCTTTAAGCGCAAAAAAGCGCACGCTTCAGTCGCCTGGCCTGGGAAAGAAGTAGCAGCCTATTTATTTGTTTGGTCCTACTTTAAGAGCCCGTTTGGTAGCACGAAAGTCGGCTGTTTGGGCTGTTTCTGCAGAAATTTATGAAGTTCTGGCTGAAGTAGCTGCATTGGCTGATTCTGCTGATTTAAGAAAAAATTATTTTTAAAATATATTTTATTAATAAAATAAAGAAAAAATTATATGTAAAAATAGCTAAAATGGTCATCTACAGTAACTTCAGCCAATACAGCCAGAAAAGTAACCCCAACCTTACTTTTTCTGCTTATTACACAATTCAGCGCGCGAAAGCAAAAATTACGTGTTTGGTGAAAAAGCTGGCTGATAAGCCTGATAAGCCGAAAAACAGTGGTTCCAAACGGCCTCTAAATAACAAGCCCATACTTATAATAAGATTTAGCCCATTCAAATAACAGGTCAAAATAACTTAAACCCATGTTAAACCCTTCTAACTTCTAAGTCACGGTAAAATAACTTCTATAGCGTGACTTCATCGTTACTCTGCTATGCTCTACTCGTGCAACTAGTTCAGCGCTGAAACAACATTCAATGATCAACCCACAGAAGTCAGAAACCCATAAGGTGTCTTTCTTTTCATCATCTTCCCATGTTCTTTCATTTTTCTTTTTCAGATTATAGTTTTCATTTATTTTGTCATCTTCGTTGATCCTTTCTTTTTTTCTTTCAGTCTATCTTCATCCTTTACTTCTATAGTTCTCTTTTATTCTTATATATTTTATACAACTCAAACATATTATAGTTCTCTTTGCTTCTTATATATTCTATAATTTATAGTTCTCTTTGCTTCTTATATATTCTACACTTTATAGCTCTCTTTGCTTCTTATATCTTCTATACTTTATATGCAGTCTATAACTATATATATCTTCTTATTATCAGTTCATATTATAATTTTATTAAACTTCATATAATCTAACTTAGTTAATAGTTTCATACACTACACAATTTATGCTACCCCAATCCTCAAACCTCAAAACCAGCTATTGAGAGACATGACTTTTTAATGCATTTAGTTGAATATGATGTTGAATATGTCATATTTGATCACTCTAGAATAGTATACATAATATTTTCTACATAGCGCGCTTGACATGAGTCAGGCGAGCGCTTTTTTGCGCCTTGCGCCTCAGGCGATATAAATACTCTAGCGCCTTGAGTGCGCCTCACGACTTTGACTACCTTGGAGACAACAATGTTCTAGATCGTTCATAGAAGACATGATTATTGTTTCTTGAACCTTGAATTCGTTTCCAAAGGCTGCAGCCGCACTCACGCCTCCTTAAAAAGCACTCCAGAAGCCTAGAGAAGAAGAGCCGCACAAACAATTGGTGGAAAGAAACCCTACGCGACGTCAAAGTCGCTAGGGAGACAAAACCCTACGCGACGGCAAAGCCGCAAGGGAGAAACCTTGATTAGGGTTAGAGAGATGTTAGAGCCTCTCTCTACTCCGTGTAATATTTTCCAAAATCTGCAATAATACTCGCATCAATCAAATGGTTAAAAAATGTAATACGCAACAAAATCTGGCAGACGCGGCAAAACATAATTGTTACAATAGCAACAACAACATCATCCTAGCCTTAATCCCAGAAGAGTTTGGGGTCGGGTAACCTGAATCGACACAATAAGCATTACAATTATAACAAAAGAATCATCCTGTTCCAAAATCCCCTAACAGCTAGTCAGCCTCATTACAAGCCAAGCTCTACCTCTACCAGCAGACACCCACTGCTCATTACCTCATTGCAGCTCTACCACCTCTAATATCTATCCCTTTAAGGACAGAATGATAGCTTTTGCATACACTCTTTCTCATTTATCTAGGATTTAAGGGTTTGACCATGAAATATATTGTGTGTTGTGCTTAAATAATGATACTCTGGTTGATTTTTATGTTTGCTTGCTATCAATTTAGAGTATTTCTTGAATTCTTGTATAGAGTATTCTATTTATCTTAATGTAAACATCTCGTTTTCTTTTGGCATGATGTTAAGGAAGCAATAAATTCATAACTTTATTGAAAAGGGGGGTGGGATAAGGGAAAATTTATTAAAGGAAAACGTGCCTTTTTGGAAATGAGGAGTTTGTTGTGGGACAATATAAAGAGGCAATGGGAAGTTTATCTTGGGATGGAGGAAGTGAATATTTACATGCTCTAAAGAGGAGTTTAAGAGGCGCGATATGAGACACCCTCTAGATGAGGTAGTCAGTGTGGATATTGAGGATTAACCCCTCTTCTTGCACGATACAAGGCTTATGCCCCAAACAGTCAAGGCATGACTTGTGGTGTGCCTCAGAATGTTTTATAGGAAGGGCTCTTTGTTTTCTTTTTCTTAGACTGTTAGAAAGTTCGTAATAAAGCTCACAGAGTAAAAGTTAGTCCATATATACGCTTTTGAAATTCCAACTAAGAGTTAAAAGAAATCACTGCCTCTTTAATGATTGGCTTGTGGGTGAAAGTGATGGTGAAGCTAACACATATAGGGATGACCGATGCCCTTGGTGTTGATATTTTTGGAGGAGAATCAACAGAAGGAACTCAAACTCATTCAAAAGAAAATTCAACCAAGTAGAGCGGTTCTCACTTCTGATCGTATAAATCATAAAAAAATGGAGGTGGATGATGAGGAATGGAGGGAAGTTACATATCTGTAGCAGAGTAATGTTATATAACTAAAAGTTACGGGACTAAATCTACAGTTTTCTTTGATATCAGAACACAATGCATTTCTAGAAATGTGTTGCATTTTATTATGTATAATTATGTGTACTAATATGCAATTACTTTCCTTATTTGAACATGCAGAATGTATGCATTATTGAGTTATCAGACTAGTTATATGAAAAAAGTATGTGCATTTGTATAAATGAAAAATCCTGTGTATATGTTAAAAAGTATTTATAAATATATCCTTATATTTGGTATGTTTGCTATATTGCTATCTATGACTGTTTCATATGTAAACAGGGAAATGGATGATCAACCGATTCCGCCTACTCAGTGTAAACCAAAGAGTCAGTCCCGCCAGAAAAAGGGTAGGCATGGCACCCGATTGAGGGAATTGATTTCCAACCGTAGTGGTAATTCACTTTTCACCTATAAGGCTATAACTTAAGTACATACTCTATCTAATAACTTAGTTGCTGTTGTGGTGTACTTAGTCGTGTTTATTCTATTGCAGCTCATATAAGACTGCCTATCGACTTTCATGCTAAAACTGGGAAACCAATAGGCCCACAAAAAAATAAATTCAAGAGTTTTGTGGCCCTCCTAGGAAGGAGTTTTGCTAGTATACTTAGACCGAATTGGAAGAGCGTAGAGGAGCGTGTCAAGAATCAGATATGGGAGAGTATCCAGGTTGTAAAATTTCAGCTCAAACCGCAAAGTTTTTATCTGAAAACTCATCATATTTCTATTACATTGGCTAACCCTCTTGTTGATGCCAAATACAGCTTACCTTTGACGTCCCTAATGATCCTCGACTGAGAAAGAGATGGATCTCTTTTGCGGGTGCAAGGTGGAGGGGATTTAAGACACAGCTCACATCACAGTACATATTTGGCAATCGATGTGACCAGTCTCCTTGTGAGGAGTACCCATTCATTGACCAGGACACTTGGCAACAGTTTGTCCTGAGCCGACAAGACCCTGCCTTTCTGGTAAGTAGCATTTATACCTTTTTAACTGATATGCAATTTCTTGTTTAATGTGCTATGCAGTGTGTTTTGTTGCATAACAGGAACGCAGACAAAAGGCAAAGAAAACTCAGGCACTTAATGTCTGCCCACACATACTATCTCGGGGTGGATATGAGTTGCTTGAGGAAAAGATGATGGCTGGAAAATTGAAAAACTCTGAGGAACCCTCCCAGCCTGATCCTTCTGAAACTCTTGATCCTCCTCCCCCTATCCTCCTTTCACGTCATGAAAAATGGAAGGCTGCACGAAAAAGGCCCTCTGGGGAGTATACGACACAGGAGAGCCGCATGGTGGCTCAGAAGATTGTAAGTCAAAGATTGATTCTGGCTAGTAATTTTAAAAGACTCATATGTATTGAATACTTTTTTGTTTTGCAGGATTCCCTAGTTGAGGAAAGCACACAAGGAACCTTTGTTCCCAAGGGCCGTGAGGATATCTTAACTGCTGCTCTTGGACGATCGGAGCATCCGGGCCGTGTCCGTGCTGCTGGATGGGGTGTTGGTATTCGAGAGTACTTTGGGCCCCCAGTACACCCTCCAGTTTTTACTCAGGAGGATGTTGATCGCATCAAGTGGGAGGTGCGGCAGGAGGTGACACAGGAGTTGACACAATTATTCTCCCAAAAACTCCAAGATGAGCTGGCAAAGATGGGGTTTGCTCCACTACAGCAGCAGCACACACAAGTCCGAGATAGTCGTTCCCCTGCAAGTGTGAGTGTAGAGGGAAGCAATGCCCCAGATGATGCCTCTGAGCCTGATGATGATGAAATGTGTCAGCTTTTCATTGATTCTCCTTTCCACTTAGTAGCAATGGGAAAGGTATGTTAAATAAAGAAACTACTTCTGTTGATATTAAACTCTCTTAACTTGCAATGTTTTGATGCTTCTATAAAATATTTTAAAATTTCAACTAGGTGCATGAATTGGGACCTACTATACACCATGAGACTATAGCTGCAGATATTGTGAGGGTCGAGATAATACAAGCTCTGGATGCAGCTGCATTGGTTCCTATTACCACTGAGGAGGTTCGCACTGTGGGCCAGGCACTTAATCACTTCATTTCATGGCCACGAAGATTGGTCGGTGCTCTTGAGTTCCAGGTTCTATTAATTTAAACACAATTGTACTCTTCTGTTTAAGTTCTATATGAATTTTCAAGCTATTTGCCTAATATTACTGTACTTGTGTTATGCAGGATGATGGTAGTTCTGACCAAGATGATGCCCTCTATGAGCATCGAGACCCACTTTCGCGTTTGCATTCAATGGCTACACATCTTGGGCCACATCCTGTAGAGCTCATCCTGAGAAAAGAGGTCACTGGCACGGCAGATGTGCCTCTTTATGTCGGATCAGAAGAAATAATGGAGATTTGTTTGGGTAATCAAATGCTTAGTGCAATAATTATACAAGTGTGGATCATGTAAGTTCTCAACATTGCACGACTGAATAAGTAAGCGAATACCAGTTGTGATAATAAACCTATACACTAATTATGCTTTTATCATAGGTATCTGCATGGAATATGTGTGCAAAGAAAAAATGTACATTTGTACGGATTTCTTGACCTGCAACTTATTCAAGATGTAGGAAGCAGACACAAGGAGATCCAGACATACATACAGGGTCAGCTAAAGGACGGTGGCAAGGAGTGCTACCTTGCACCTTATTTCTACCCGTAAGTGCAAATTTATGGTTAAATTCGATTTATTTATATCCAAACGACTTATTAAAAAATCACTCTCCATTTCAGGACGCACTGGCAATTGTTTGTATTATGCCCTCGGCAGAATACAATTGTCTTCTTGTGCTCTCTAGGGAATAAGCCGAAAAATAATATCAAGAATGTCATGAACATGTAAGATACTATTTTAGTACTCTTAAATTGGCTGATTATTACTACAACTGTATGTAATCTGTTACAGAAGTGACATGACTACTTGCATTTTATTAGGGCCTTGAAGGGACATCAGGTGCTAAAACCCACTAGGAAAATCAGTCCAAAATGGGTTATACCCAAGGTAAGTGACTTAAAACCCAATATTTGTTTACTGTTGGTCAAGGCTGTTATGACTTATGAGTTCGATTAGGCTTTTTATGGGTTTTTTAGGATAAAATGGGGCTGTCGGATTAAACAAATCTAACTGCAGGCCTGTAAATCTAGTCTGTTACATAGGTGAGAGATTGGAATGATCATGATCCCGATGACAGACATTTCGGTCTCGCCCGATCTCGATTAGAGGCTAATAATAAATCTGATTCTCATCCTAATCAAGTTGGGACACCCCATCACATAGAATAAAATATGGAGATGGTTTTTTTAGTGAATAAAAAATCTTTAAACAGTAGTAATAATTGATTACTCGTTGAAGAAAATGTTACGGAGTATTTTTACTTTTTAGACAAAAATTTTATTAACAAATTAACAGTCAACCAGACAGGACCAATTTCCAAATCCCAAGGGAAAGCGGGAAGTAATTGTTGGGTAACTGCCTAAGAAATATTCGTAATATTCGTAATACTTAAAGGAAAAACAGTTTTTAATGAATGTGTAATCAAAGTGGGAGGATGAATAACTAACTACAACAGAAATCTCCGTTAAGTAGGGATTTGATTGGGATATCTGAAGTATTCTTCCAATGAAGTCTCAAATAAGTCCCCACTTATGATATGTTGGCCTCCATTTAAGTTCTCATTTTTTATTTTTATGGTATTCAATGTTACCATTATTATTTACCATTGTGTAATTGTAACATCTACGACAAATTATTGTTTCAATGATATATATAAAACAAAATGTTCAAGAATATCTTTTTATAGTAATTAATACACCCTTCGTCCATAAATTATTCTCACATTTACTACTTTGCAGTATCTTTACTCCTTTTTTTTAAGAAACCTTCTTTTTAATTTGTAACTAGATTCTCACCCGTGTATTGTACGAAACAAAATAAATAAAAAAGACATAGTATCATTTATTATATACTACCTTTGTCGCAATTTGATGTTCCTAGTTCCTATTCACTTAGCCAACACAAATCACTCTTAATCTCTTACTTTATATATCAAATTTTTATCAAATTTGAATATTTGATTATGGTTTTTGTGACTTTGTAAAGATTTTAATATAGTTTTTGAACATGTAATTTTTTTATAAAAATAATTTGAGTGCGGACAGAAATCCGTTTGCTTTATTGTCGGTCAAGCATCGTAAAACGCAACAGGAACATCAAATTGGAACGGAGGGAGTAATGTTAACATCAAAGCATTCATATGATGTGTAAATGTGTGGAAAGAGAATATGGAGTAATATATATATTACGTAAGAAAAGTTATATTTTTTTGGAAGAAATAGGCTTAAGTTGATAACACATCATCCAGATAGTAGGTAATCCGACAAAAAGATTCCTGATAACCGCCATCCCGCGAACCAGACTTAAAGTTAATCACCTCAAAAGAAGCAATATAACTCGTTGATCCATTAATGGGCACAAATGAGCCAAAGACGGTTACCTCAATCCTTCTATCACCCACATCCAAATCCATAGTCTTACAGAAGAGGAAAACAAAAACAAAAACAAAAACAAATACACCTGTCTTGACAGAAAAAAGTAAAATTAATAAAAAATACTTCTTTCCCATCCTGCCACTCTGCACGATCACCCAAATTCCTCGCCCTGGTTGTGACTGAAGCAACTTCGGTGGACTTACTGGTCGAAGCCCGCCCCTTCCCCGTTTTTTGTCCCATCCATAGCCATGTGTTATCTTCCCCAATCTTGTCCTCTCCCTTGGAGTCCCAAACCCGTCTTCGTTTTTGCTTCCCCGATGCTTCCCCCTTTGTTTCCACTTCCACATTTTTAGTTGTGCTCTGCGTTGATTCTGAGATAGACTCCTATGTTCCTCCCATGTCCCATCCTACCATCAGACTTGTAATCTCCCATGTACCTGCGCTCCCTGCCAGAGCTCGATGAACCCTCCACCGGCCATTTACTTCCTCCTGTTGGACTGGTCTTCACCCTGTTACCTGCTCTAAGTTGAACCCCAATTTTTTTTCCAGAAATAGATCTTCTGCATAGGTCAAAGGGCAAAATTTATCTGAATGCCCAATTAAGCAACTTTTTATATTTGAAGTCTACCCAATAGCTCCTTCCTTCTTTCTTAAGATTTGTGCCCTTTTTCAAAGATTTTTCCACGTTCATGCTCAACCTAATTCTCATATAAGGCACCCACTTCTCACTATTCGGATTATCATCATATCTTATAAATTTTCCAATAAAATTTCCAACCCGCCTAATTCTCATATAAGGCACCAACTTCTTCTCAGTATGGTGGACAAAACGCTAAGCGTTCCCCGAAGGATAAGAAAAGTTATATTTAGAAAGGGTAATAGCTAATGTTCACAATGTTTTGAAAGAACGCAAAAATAAACATTGTAGTATGATTGATTTGTTTGCCATTTTAATTACAAATCATTATTTTCAAACTGTTATGATTTCTAAATGCAACATTATATTGACCTTTACTCTTATTTATAGTCATGACATAAGAGGTTATGATCGATAATTATAATCTCTGAAATCAATAATATAAATGTATTTTTGAATCATTAAGTTTAAAAACATATTTTCTAATGATTTATAATAGAATTTTGACTTAATAATATTAACCTTGACTCTAATATATAATTATGACATAAGCTGTCATGACCGGAAATGGTTGTCTCTGAAATCAATCATATAAATGTAATTTTGAATGATTGAGTTAAAAGGCTTACTTTTGAATGATTAATAATCAATACGGAGTAATATAATTATAACATTTCGATAAAATTTCACAAAATCAGTAATTGCCCCATAAGTTACGTCTGACTCCACCAAACATTCCACTCATCAGACTTTTTAAAAATATCATTAACCCAAAAAATCAGACCTTTTAACCTAACCCAACCAATGTAAGACAACTGCCCCATTTAGTGATATACGGAGTATTTTCTACTCAATCCTAGTTGGACTATTTCCTATAGATTAAAACCCAACAGCATTTTAAAATCAAAGGATGGTCCATTTAATTGAAAGACATCCCATCACAGTCTTGAAAGACATCCCATCACAGTCTTGTATACCCAACAGCATATTATACTGCCGCTCAACCTTGTATTAACTTCCGGTACAATACACCATCAATTAGGGTTGGATTGACTTTTGACCATGATAGTGACATTTTTGAGCGGGAAAATTGCCAAACTTTCCACTCTGATTTGTATATAGACAGATTTTATATACAGACTTTTTTATATTCAAATTTGATTTTAGAACTTTAAATATAGTTTTTGAATATGTAAATTGTAACAAGTAATCTCTAACACTAAATTATGCATTATTAATTTAGAGACCGAGGTACTATAATTTTGAAATGATCAACGATTGAATTTAACAAACTTTTACTCTAAATGAAAGCTAGAAGCTAATTAGGGGCCAGATGGAGTGATGACATATGGTTTGAAACCCAAAATTCTTAGGAACCCTTATTATGAAGCATTTATGGCCAATGAATATAAATTGTATGTATATGCATGTTGTACAAAATGTTACTGCTAAAGTCAATATAAGAACTCAATTGGGAGACAGAGGAATACTTTATCATTGGAAATCCAAAAGCTCCACACACACCTTTATTGAGAAGCATTTATGACCAATAATTATAAACTATGTGCACTACTACTTAATCGTTTATAAAAAATATTACAATCATGATCATATCATGACATGATCTGATCAGGATTAGGAAAAAATCCTACTAGTTGGGATCAGGATGTTGGGGTTATGATTATCGGGTTCAGAATATGCGGGATCTAAAGTCATTTCCCACTCTATTTAGAGTTAGAAAATTAAAATTAAAAGTTGTGTGTGTGTATATGTATAATCACACTGTCGGGATCCCAACTTTAAAATAATTGACATTGTGGATCGAGACCAAGGGGGTGTTTGGATCTGATTCCTAAAACTACTTCTGCTCCTTCAGGGAGCAGAAGCAGAAGTTGAAGTGTTTGGGTGAAAGTGGAGAAGTACTTCTGGTGTTCTAATTTATTCCTAGAAGCAGTTTTTTTAGAAGCCGGGGGAGACCAGCTTATGAGAACTGATTCTGCTTCTGCTTTAAAAAAGAAGCAGAAGCAGAATCACTTCCAAACACCCCCTAATTCCAATACAATAGAGATCTAGACAAAATCCCAACTATTAGGGACCGGACGTCATTTTAGGTAAACAGAAGCAAATCCATCTATTCATGAATTCGTCTACTCCTAAAAGCTCTATATATAATTCCCGAAGTGTGAGAGGGTGTGTTATTTTCGTGGTATGTATGACATTTCTTTTATATCTAACCGATAACAATTAGGATAAAAATTCACATCATAAGTATGCAAAGTGATTTTAAGATGCAGGAAAGTAAGCAAATGAACAAGTGAACAACTAAAAGAAAGGTTCTTTTAGTGCACACACGTGCACATACACATACATTTGTGTGATTTTTATGCATTTTCATTTACTTCAAAGTGCTCTTATTGGACGTAATTATTCTCCATTGTAGTATGTGCTTTTATACGGGTTAGAATGACTTCAATATTTATATGCAGTCCCGAATGCAAATGGGAAATTATGAATGCGGGTACTATGTCATGAGACAAATGTTTGCCATCATCTATGCGGGTGATATCAATTCGTGGATGGGGGTAATACAATTTTATATACCAGTCTTTTATAATACTACTATGTATATACAAACACACACACATGTAGAGAGGGAGAATATATCTCACCAGCTCGTGTGATCGAAATCCCGCAAACAGGCTTCATTTTTAGCGAAAAATAATTAAATATTCCACTTTTTACTCATCAGTATTTACTATTATTTTAAACAGCTAGATCATCGGAAAAAAATAATTTATGCCGAGTTTAATTCCATTTTTATGATAACAAAACTCTCTTGTTATGCAAGTATTAGAGGTGAAAAGTGAATTTGTAAGGTTCGCTTTTGAACAATTTGAAAATCTTAAGGTATAAAGTTATAAACTAACAGTTATTATTAATAGCAAAGAATGTTGGATCACTATATTTTTGGTCAAAAATGAAAATCGACTGATGGGATTTCCGTTAGTCTAGAATTTAAAGAATGACCTTAAAGACTTTGTGGGGGGTCTAATGTATCCATCTTACCATGAGAATAACCTTAAAAAAGGCCTAAATCGGAGTAAAACAATGCGAAATTTCAAACTATGAGCATTATGTTTTTTTCTATGAATAGAGTAATTACTAGCTCAAAAAATAGCCCAATATGACGTCAAACATTAAAACTACCATATTAGCGTCTTAGTAATTTCAAAATATGCTGTGTGATTTTAGGATGGCCCTAATTTATATTATATAGGGAAAAAATAGTGTTGTTTTATAATTTCTAAACGTTTTTACTTCTATTTCGGAAAATTTGATTAACTTTTATTAATAGCAATTTGATTTTCGACTTCTCATTTTTCTAATTAATGGCTACCTCTCAGTTAATTGATTTTTTTATAGGCATTAGGGTTTTTTTTGCATTTTTTTAAATAATTACAAAAAAGTCACTTTACCCATATTCGCCATTGATTGGAAAGGTAAAAGGCAAAAGGGTAAAAATCAATTGTTCTAATCATCATTTATAAATATGTTCTCGTCTAGTAGTCTTACAATGGGGTTACTCATCTTGTAGGAACTTGACATTCAAGACGCATTCACTGAACAAGAAATCAATGATGTGCGGGAACGTTGGGCATCGTATTTGTGTGACATTAGGGGGTTTTGATATTTTGTACTAGTGTTTTCAAGGAAATGAATTGTGTTTATATATTAACTATGACACATTATTACCGTCATTTCCCAGGGCCACAACTCCCTGAGTTTTACGTACTTGTATGTGTGCGACACTGTGCGTGCGTGCGTTTTCAATGAAGAAGGTTGTTCTCATGGATGCAAAATAGTGTACATTTTCATCCATGATGGTGCCATGTGTTTCTGACTGCATTGTTCAAGGTGAAGAAAATGTCAAGTTTATTTATAAAAATGCAGTATGTTTTTTAGTTTACAAGCGTTGTACATTACATATATTAATTTGATCCACATTACTCCATATATATTTATGTGCGAGTGAAATATAAATCTAGTCATAGACCCGGGCCGGTTCCGGGCCGGGCCCGGCCGGGCTTTTTTTTTGGGAAGGCCTGAGACCGGCCTAGGTAGCCACCGGGTCCGGGCCGGGCCTCCGGTTTGGTTATTTTTTTTTTTTTTTTTGCTTTCCTAACCCCCTCCCCCTCAACCACCCTAAACCCCCCAAACCCCTCCTAACCATCAAGCCCAACCCAGGTGGAACCCCAAAAAACGGAAAAAAAAGTCAATTCGGCCCGGACCCGGGCCCACCACCGGCCGGGCCGGTTCGCCAAATACAAGGCCCGAGCCTGGACCCGCCCCCCCCCCCCCACCGGGCCGGTTCCGGGCCGGGCGGCCCAAACCGGGTCCATGACTATATAAATCTCAACCAAAAAGGTCACTTAGATACAATTGTCATCGTGTTTTCAACCAAGTGTACATTTTTGCCGGGATATATTAGTAGTTCAACATAAAATTGGAGTCGCTTATGAGAACTGTGTCCGAACTCCGAAACAATGCACAATTTGTTTCATGTCAGTATCAGTGTGTATTCATATTTAAGATGATGCACACATAGAAAAGTTTATTTTATACGAAGTATACAAAAGTGCTATTGCATTTTTTTACTCATGTTCGGGCACATTTCTATTACAAGAAATGCATAATTCTTAATGCATTTGATTCATTCTCATTTCCAGCTCTAGATTGAGTTCTCATTTGATCTAAATTACACACGTGTGTGGTGTGGTGTTCCATTAAAAAAATTGTTTAGTGTAAGAAATGTGAATGTGTCGCTTAAGATTCTCTATGTTGCACCTTTAAAGTGTAAAGGGTGGTAAAAATTCATTTAATTATCGTACCACATTATCGGCATAATTTAATGCACTATTGGCACAATCTAGGAGATGGATCTTTAATAGCGATATCAAAATAGGAGCACATGATATGATGTGTGTGGGATTATACGTTGAGGTTCACAAGATGGGATTAGACGATCGTGACTTGCACCAACGCACTAGGGCTCGCAACAACAGTCGAACAAGGCTATCTGACTGAGACCAGCAGAGACAGTGAGTTCAATTGTAGCAAGAGGTGATTTGAATGAAAGGGGACGGCCGGACGGGAAAAGGCGACAAAGTAACTTCGAAAATCAGATGTGGATAAATTAGCCTGTTACTGGTGCCTATTAGCTGATCATGCAATTTGCTCTCTTCATAACAGTCTAATTGGATAAGCAAAGGATTGTAGGAGAAGACACCAAAAACAGGATAACACATCATCCCTAAGGCCCCTAGAACCGATCAGACAGTTATTTGGAATGATTTAAGTTGCGTTTTGATCAAAATCTGATGGATAGAGAGTGGTCAGTGGAGTTCCATCTCAAGTCATTGCTTGGAGTTGAACTCAGGACCTTTCCCTTGTGACACTCTCTTCCTACCAGGTGAGCTATGCCTCCGATTAGGAGAAGACACCATATTTAATAGGTTGAGGTTAATCCAAACAAATTCCCATTGGAAGTAAAACAAAGTTGTTTTCATCAAGGATCAACAAAATGTTTCTCTTTTTCTTGGTGAGGACGGAGTTAACAAGCTTTATGATGCTTTTTATTGTATTCTTTTTTTTAAGATGGGTCAAATAGACCCATCTACTATTCTCAATCAATCACTTAAACTCATATACTAAAATAAGCATCATATATAATCATTTGTACTCTAAAAAATCAATCACATAGGCCAATTTAGAGGAAGATGACCGGTTTTAACCGGTCATTTGTAGATTGTTTATTTTTCCTTTATTGTTTACTTTTCCTCATTTTTTTCTCTTTCGACTGTTTCTGTGATTTGGTCCTGCCCCACTCCCACTTCTTCCTTTCCTTGTTCTCGTCTCTTTCGTCCTTTATTTTACATCTGCCTCCCATGTTCCTACGTACTCCCACCAAATTCAACTTGACGGTGTCACTCTTCTCGGATATGGTGGCGAGTCTTTAAAAGAGATTGTCCACTTGATTATGGGCAGCTCTTCTTTGGCCGCCGCGGTTGACATTGCCTTAATGTACGTGTAACGTTCCTTTAATTTTGATACATTACAGGGATGTTCTTGATTATGGACAATCTTCTCTCCCGCGGGAGGTGGCCGACCAAAGAAACGAACTCGTCGGAGTAATCGGATGGAAAAGAGAAGAGCACACGCACAAAATTCTACGGAGTATATATACCAGAGCTAGAAGAAGATAATGTCTTATTCAATCAGTCCCCCCCCCCCCCCCCCCGTATTTTTCTTGAATTGAAAGCATTAAAATAATGGAGTTTATTCATACTATATATATCAACAAGTCTCGTTTTCCCATATAACCATGTTTAATGAATTAAAACTATTTTCTCAACAATTAGGCATTTAGACTCTTGTTGTATATACATTAGCATCGTAATTTTTAAAGTTAACATTCCTACATATATAAGATCAGCTGATCAGAGTGGATGACGGGTAGATGCGTACTGTACTCAACAAAGAACCACGCCCAGACAAGAGAGTCCAATAGTAATCAACATACACATCACTGTAGATTTGATTAATTAATAATCGGCAAGGGACTGAACATTATTTTATACCCCGTAGTTAGAAAAAAGGTACAGGAAAAAAAGAAGAATAAAATATAAGTGAAAAAAAGAGACTAAAGGGCGCACGGCCGGGAGCCGGAAAAGAAGCCTAAGAAGATTAGAAAAAGAGAAAAGATCAAAACAAAAGGTAAATAAGAAAGAACGAAAGAAAAATATGGAGTAAGAAAAAGAATAGTGAAGAAGAATGGGCACCTGCGAGCAGGAAGAGCATGCGAGAAAGAAAAACGAGAAAGAAAAAAAGGAAAAAGAAAAAAAAAACACAAAGAAGCAAATCATCACCGGTTAAAATGGTCATCTTCCCGGTATATTGGCTTATGTGACTGATTTTGCAGAGAACAAATGGCTATGTGATGCTTATTTAAGTACACGGGTTTAAGTGACAGAATGATAATAGTAGAAGAGTTTATTTGACCCTTTTCTCTTTTCTTAAAGAATAGTGATACTACAACTTTTTCTGCTATGTATTTATAAACGAACATGTCTGAATCCCAGTTCTACACAAATGATTACAAACATAAACGAGTCCTAAACAGTTCAGAAAAAAATTATCAAAAGCCTCAATCTTCAATTGCAACAACTTAGAAGCAGCTCTATACATCAGAAGTGTTCAAACGTATAAAAGCAGTGTTTGAACGTATATGATCTGTTAGACGCCGACCCTCTGGCTCACTGAGATACCTCTTTGACTCTACATAACTACGGAGCTCAGTGACCACTACGTGTGACTGAAGACCTTCGTCCAAAGCTTTCAAGAAGTCTCTGGTGAGGATGTTCAATAGCTTTTCAAAATGACGCTATTGCAGCTAGTGCTGTTATTCGAGCCGAGCCGAGCCCGAGTATCACACATTCGAACTCGACTCGCTCAAATTTCGAGCCTGGCTCGAGCTCGGCTTGTTAAATTTCGATTCTGTATTTGAGCTCGAACTCGGCTCGTTAAAGTAATTTACAACTCGAGCTCGACTCGTTAATATACCCGAGTCAAGCTACTCGAGCTCGAGCTCGACAACTCGAACTCGAAAAACCCATGTATTAAAATGGGCCTAAACTAAACGCCTAAACCTAATGCGGAGTATGTAATAAAATGACAATATGCCCACCTCACGAGCCCTATCGAGCTTCACCGGGTTTTATCGAGTCGAGCCAGCTCGGCTCGTGAACTTTATCGAGTAAACAAAAGAGTTCGAACTCGACTCGTTTTCTCTAATATACGAGCCGAGCCCGAGTTTAATCGAGCCGAGCTCGAGCTGAGCTCGATTTCCATAACAGCACTAATTGCAGCATGTCCTATTTTATTATTGTAATAACTAGTTAAGTAGCATATTCATTATTTACGTATTAGACATTACTCCTATTATTGAATGGACCATGCAATAATAGGAGTAATGTCTAATACTATCCGTAAATAATGAATATGCTACTTAACTAGTTATTACAATAATAAAATAGAACATGCTGCAATAGATGCTTACTTGGCATCTATTAGGGTAGACTTATTCCCTACTCCCTTTCCCCTATAAATATGGGGCTTTCCCACATGTTATTCTTTTTGGATTGGTCTCTTCTTCCCCATTTCTCCTCCTTCTCTCTAGAATAGAATAGCTAGCTAAATACTCCATTAATGGGAGCTTGTACATTGTAATGGTTGGTGAGGAGAGTCCTAATGAGAAAGAGAGGGCTTGGACATTAGCCTAAAAAGTCCCGTGGTTTTCTCTCTTTCGGGTTTCCACGTAAAAACTGAGCTTGTTCATACACATTTATACATATATTTACTATATAGTGTTGGATTAAACTCAACAATTATGTTGGCCCATCTTCTTCGCCGTCTCAATCTCTCTTTATTTACGGACATTTAATATATTACTTACCGCTATATTTTGTGTTCAATGCTTTTTACGTTTTAATAATGAAATAATTACATAAATGTGACCAAAATAAAGATGGTTTACAAAAATATGACTAATTACTTGAGCAGTAAGGAAATCATAGTAATTCATGTTCAAGTTTTGAACTTAAGTTACCACAACACTACGTTGTAGTAATGAATAGTTATATTTATGTAAATAAGTTTTATTTTAGTAATATTCTTGTAAAAAAACCTTTAATAATAGACTTTTTAATCATTGTGTTAACTATAAAAATGCGGATAAAAATGCGGAGTTTGCCATCACCAAATGAAGCAAGTTCATCACAAATATGTACTACGTATATTCTTCTTTTCTATTTTAATGTTTACGTGTATATTTACAACTTTTTAACCATTTTTAACTCAGTGGAATCGATTTTATTTTTCTTTTCTTCCTTCTTTTTCCACTATCTCCGGCTTCTTTATTCAACAGCTTCTTTCTTCCGCCCTTTCCTTCTTTCCCTCTTCTCCCCTTTCCCTTCGACTCCCGCACCCTCTACCCCTTTCATCAACTTTGACCAATTTTATTTTTTAATACGGAGTATGAAATTATTTTGATTATAAAAAATTATATCAAATTGTTCCTTGTTGAAAATATTTTCATAAAAAATTATATTTATAACAAGTATAATAATTAAAATGATTGTCTAAAGTTTACCATCATTGATTAAAGTCAATTTGGCGAACTTTTTTAAGAACATAGGTAATAAGTAATTATTATTTCCTTGTCTCATAGCACGTAGTACTTGTATATATATTTTCAGCATGAATGAATATGAAAAATAATTAGGGGGTAATTTGGTGGTCTACAAAAATTAAAAGGGACGTTAAAGATGGTAGAAGAGTTGCAACCAACAATATGAACATAGGCAGGCAGCCACGTAAAGGGATGGATGATGTATAAATATGCGGTGCCGAAACATCATTCTATAGCTCTTCATCCGCCGGCCATCGACACCAGGTAATTAAGTTACGTTGCTTCTCCGATCCGATCCGATCCTTGCATTAATTTCTTCAATTCGTGTGATATATGGAGAAGATGCATATGAATATGATGGCCAATATAATCTTTTATACATACTGTGTTCGATCGGTTATTGATTGGATATTTGGATGCGGCATTTGTGCGTGCAGGTGGTGGACAGAATGGGTGTAGAAGATGGAGGCGGAATGAGAAGGAGAAGGCTGTGGCGTTTGTGCACAAAGGACGACTTCCTCCCCGAGGAATCCTTCAGGTCCTGGGGCAATTACGTCAATGCGCTCAAGCAAACTCCCTCCCGCTTTGCGGAACGGGTATTCACCCGCTCCCACGACGGCGCAGAGCTGGCCGCCGCCTCCCGGAGCAACCACCAGATGAAGAAGACTCTCTCCTGGTGGGACCTGCTGTGGTTCGGGATGGGAGTCCTCATCGGCGCCGGAATATTCGTCCTCACCGGCCTCGAGGCTCGGGAAGATGCCGGCCCCGCCGTCGTCCTCTCCTACGCCGTCTCCGGTCTCTCTGCTTTGCTTTCCGCCTTTTGCTATACGGAGTTCGCCGTTGAAATCCCCGTTGCAGGTCTCCATCTGTCCCTCACACTATATATACTAGTCATGCGATGCATGGTCGGAGAATATTCTCAAAAAATCGATCAAAAAAATAATTATATGAACATATATTATACTACGCATATATAATGAGTGGATTGAGATGCGATATTGGTTCGAACCCTAATTTAAACATTAAATAACATACTACATAATAAGGATGTTTTTACTTGGACTGTAATTTACTGGTCTGGTCCGGTCTGTTTAAGTATGGTCTGGTCTGGTCTAGTAAACGTCTGATCTCTGTCCATTTTATAACTACGAAAGTCAAGTCTGGTCTGATCTGGTCTGTTTGAGTCCGGTCTAATCTGGTCTGATCTGAGACTGAAAACAGTCCAAATAAAAACATCCTAAACCAACGGACAAAAGTCACAATAAGGATAATTAAAATTGTTGAAATACAATTAAAGTCAACACCCTAAAATCAAAACAATGATAGAGATTTTGTAAAACTTCTTTATGCATCGCATTCATAATTTCGTGATCTGAATTACCGCCTCCATTTGAAATCAAAATTTTAAGATTATTCATATTGGTTACACTTGACAATCCGGTTTCTACAATAACACACCAACATGGAGTAATGATTGTCCTTAACTTTTGTTTGTAATCATAACATATGATGTCATTATGGAATATTGTTGTAGTATTTTAAATCAGAATGACAATCTAACATTGAAAAAGTGATAATGAAAATCTTGAAAATAGAATCTCTTACCTGTGCTGAACCTATTGAGAGTATTACTTATTGTTATAATAGTAGAATTATGTGATAGTAAAAATAAGTAAAGTTGAAATTCTTTTTTTGGATGATTAGATTAAGTTACTCTAGAGAACTTATCCATTTAATTTTTTCTCCACTTTATTCATAAGATATATTTTAAGTGTTATGTTTCCATAACTTTTTCTCAACTCAACCAATTCAAACGTTTCACCCATAATTTCATCTGGTTAGCACATTATTTTCAAAATACACTATATCTAACAACCTTGACTTGCGACCACCCGTGTGATGCACGGTCGGTGAGTATTCTCAAAAATATCGGGCAAGAAATTAAATTAATTATAAAAATATATACTACTCTCATCCCTTCAAGAGATTAAACAATTCAACAGTTTAACCAAATCAATAGTAAATTCAAACAGTTTTAACCATATTTTTATAAGTGTTGACCACTCATCGGTGGTGTAAATGTTGAGTAACAATTACCGATCTTTACTACAAAATAATAAAAATACGAAGTACAAAAAAGAGGGGAACCAACAACAATATCTCAGAATACATTACTCATAGTAAATTATAGCTTTACCGAAAGTTGACATACTATCTCAAAGTACATCATTATTGATGGTAAATTATAGACAAAGGAAAGAAAAACAACAATAAAGCATAAATTAAATTACTAATAAAGCACAAAAACTACTGTCGTACATAAAGAAATCCATACTTATCCCTATTAAGCAATTGAAACGTTGAAAAGGAAATCTCATTCAGCTGCCTAAAATCTCTTACCGTTACTAAATGCATCCCTCAGTTCCCCTGCGCTGGTATTACAACATAAGCTTGGAAAGGACTAAGGGTCTGTTTGCAACAGCTTCTGCTTTTAAAAAAATGTTTTTTTTAATGAAATGGGGAGAAGTGATTAAATAGAAGTTGATAGTGTTTGAGAAAAAAGTGATTTTGAAAAGTAAAAGTGGGTAGTGTTTGGTAAAATAAGTGTTTTTTGTGTAACATAAAAAGTAAAAACACTTTTGACGCGGAAGCCGAGAAATATAAAAGTTGTAGTGTTTGGGAAAATAAGTGCTTTTTTAAAGCCAAAAGCTTAGAAGTGCTTTTTTAAAAGTAGTTGCAAACAGACCCTAAAAGCCTTGCCCCAAATTAAAATAAAACGTGGGCCAGCAGCGGCCCATAAAACCTTCTACCCATAAAAACATTCTGGTCATTCTAGAGATATAGTAGGGGAGAGTTTGAGAGATCCGCCTGGAAGATTTACCAATCAGCCTGCGTCCCAAATTGGAATGACGTTGACTTCTCTTGGCCTAGGGAGAATGAAGCCGATCGATCCTCGCTTCTGCCTCGGCTTGCTTGCCGATTTTGGTAGCCTGGTTGATTTGGAGGTTTCCGTCGCAGCGCACGCCTAATTTGTTCACTCGATCAGGTGGATCGCTTTTGGGTCGCAGGTACAATATTTGTTCCTCGAATGAATGACCACATTACAACCATGCTTTGAGAAAATCCTACCGGAATGGTGCTTTTATAGTAGAAAATCTACTTCCGTATTCGCTAAGAATAGCATGACCCATTCCATTCACTGTTTGACCGGCCTTATCCACCCATACAGCGAGAGCAACATGTTAATCAAATTTTTTGTGAGCAGTAGCCGCCACCCTTTCACCCAATAGGAGGCCTGATTTTTTTTTTTTTTTTTGCATTATGCGCACCTCCATCTTTGGCCAATGGGATTGGCTTTTCCAATACGAAATACATCTTTTTTATTATTCTCTTGAGAAATTAAAAAATGAATAAGTGAAGTTGACAGGTCCAGGCGGGAAAACTGTGCCACTTACTTCTTTTCCTTTTATATAAGAAGAGTTATATGCCCCGTTTTTTCAAATTGCCCCGTTTCCCTCCTAAAAAACCATGGTCCACCTTTTCATTTTCATTAGCACTAAAAGAATAAGTTTACTTCCAAAAGCAAAAACGCCCTGGTTAAGGAGCAAAAATACTCCTCTCAGGTTTTCCTTAAAAATATACCAGTACTCCGATCCGTATTACGTATAACTAAAAAAACTACTTCGGTAAAAATAAGTAACTATTATATTGAGTAGGAGAAACTGAAAAAAAACCTTTTTTCTTACAAAACTGTAATTTACAAGTGTACAACAAAAAAAATTTCAAAATAAAGACAACATTTATTTTGCTTGAAAAAGCTGTAAACAATATTACTCTATAGTCCATATAGAATATTTTTTTTAAAAAAATTGTAACCTATATGAAAATAAAATATTATTTTGTGTGAAATGCTTCTGTTTATTATTCTTAAAAAAAATTACTCGATAATAGATTTCTTAACATAAAAGATTTATTGAAAAACTTTAACATATATGGGGTATGTAAGATTAATTGGTGTGGGCAATGTGGCACAAGTTGTAAAAAATCCTTGCAATTTCAAAGTTAATAAGATTCAATAATTGCTTCATTTAATTAAATAATTCTACACAGCTAAGATTATTGAATAGTTAGCTTAGTCTATTAAGTGAAAATAATACTCCGTACCAAAAATGTTATTTTTGGTATCATTTAAAAAAATTGCAACATAATATATTCAAAACTGTGCAACAAGACTGACATTAATGCTGACATGTCAAAACATTACGTTTGTTTGTCTATAGTAAGATCTGAGTGTATCTTTTTATGAATAAAGAATAGAGAAAATTATCTCCCGTAGACTAAGAGCCTGTTTGGTAGCACCAAAATCGGCTGTTTTGGCTGATTCTGCTGAAATTTATGATATTCTGGCTGGAGTGGCTGTTTTGGCTGATTCTGCTGATTTAAGAAAAAAATATTTTAAAAATATATTTTATTAATAAATTAAAGAAAAAATTATATGTAAAAATAGCTAAAATGGTCCTCTACAGTAACTTCAGCCAATACAGCCAGAAAAGTAACTCCAACCTTACTTTTTCGGCTTATTACACAATTCAGCGCGCGAAAGTAAAAGTTGCGTGTTTGGTAAAAAAGCTGGCTGATAAGCCTGTTAAGCCGAAAACAGAGTTCTCGAAACGGGCTCTAAAACTTCATATGTTTCCCAGTATATGACTTAGTCCTTATTCCTATTTTGATGCATCGATGTTATGCATGGTCATTTATTAATTTTTTCCCTTGTTTTTATTACGCCGGTGGCCTCAATGGCTCAATGAATAAAGATGGCAAGTTTTATTCCTGATTTCTTGGATGCTAAAACGATGCATACGTGGCATGAGAAATAACCAATTAAAAAATAATAAATACAATATATCTCTCCTTATTTAAAGGATCTTACATCATTTTGATAAGTTTATCTTCACAATGTCAAATACAATGTCTAGATGTAGACATTGTGATTGACATTGCAGACAAAAACTTACCATACACATAAGACCGTGGAAAGAAGGAGAGAGATATTGTATTTATTATTTTTTAATTGGTTATTTCACATGGCACGTATGCACCGTTAACGCTTTATCATTGAAGATGCTCTAAGCATGACGCCTGTATTAATTAACTTTCCTTAAAATGTGGATTTAACTCATGGTAGTGTTTGATAACCGTTTTCATCATTTTTATTTTATTTTTTTGGAACCTCATTTTCAATAATTACTTTCCCTTATTTCAATTGTATTCGTAACCAAAGACGTACAAATAAACAAAATTATTGCAGACTTTTTAATGTCCTAATTTTATATCTCTCTAAATCTCTAATCCCCTTTATATTACTGTCCTAGCTAATTTTCGTATGACATTCTTTTTCATGTTCTTTAATTTCAGTGCCCAATCATTCGGGAAAAAAACTTCATTATATTGCCCAACAAACATTTTCCAAATTCACCCGATTTAATGTCCTATCTCCAACTCATAGAATTTGAGATTCATTGTCATTCTAACTGCCTTATGAGATATGCATATCTTAAATTAATGCCCTATTTTAATGTCCCATTACTTACTGAAGCAGTGAAGCGCAACTTACTGCACTAAATTGCAGTAGAAATCTGAACGCCACCGGTGGCGTACGTGGCTTTTGCATTTTTTGGGAAGATCAGTGGTTTTGGCCGGCCGAAGTTAATGCATTCAAACCTTACAAAACGCTACTTTCCGTCTTCAGTAAACCCCCACTCTCTGTTTAGCGGTTAACTATTGAGGATTTGAGGGCATTAAAGGAATTTTACTCTGGGCATATTTAACGCACATGCATGAGTTTTTTGGTCATATATTGGGAAAACCGTTATCTTCTAGTAATATCTAGTTAATTTTCGAATACCCTTACACTAGGTAACTTTTTCGTGCGTTAACCTTCAACCAAAATAGAACTATTATGTTTTTATCTCTTAAATAGGAGTAATTACTGTCACACTTTGGCAGTACCGGACTTTAAACTTCGCAGTATTTTTGAAGATTGCCAGTAATTACTCATTTTAGGGAATAAAAACATGACAGTCCTATTTTCAAATTTTCAAACGTTTTCTTACTCATATTTCGAGAATTTTCCTTTAACCTTTGTGGTGATGATGACGCCTTTACTCCATTGACTTTCCCAAGGCCAGAATGAGTTGGCCTTCTTATTTTGACAATAAAATTGAGTCATTACTACCAAAATAGTTGTAGTACTAGGGATTAACATGACAATATTAATCTGTCAATATTTTTCAATTATGGTAGTAACGACTCCAAGACTCCAATTTTGAGGAAAAAATATAGGAGCTCTATTTGGAATTCCAAAAGAGAAATTTACTTGACGTGTTAGTAAAAGTTCCAACTTTTCCCATAATATGACATAGGAGTCTTTTTTGAGTTTTTCCTAAGATGATACTATAGTTATGGTAACCGCTATTATTATTAATTTTCATTCCAGAATCGGCAACTTTAGGGGAAGTTGGAGGCCCTCTACGTGTATTTGTGTTAAGGTCATTTTGGTCTTTGAATATTCTTCACCATACGGATGCCATGTTTTAAAAACGTAACCTTTTGTAGTCATAAGATGGTAAAAAAATAAACCAACTCATATATTGGGAATTGGGATGAGTTTTACTCATAGATACGTATTTTTCTCATTCCAAAACATGTTTACTCCAATTTAAGACAATTTTCCTAAAATAGAGATACTTTAGACATTTACTAGATCAAACCAATAGAGTCCAATTAAGAGCATCCTAAAGATGAGGAGTCATATATGATATTATAAGAATATAGTGAATATGAAATGATATAATTTAACTACGCTTTGAAATTAGTTCGTTTAGTTTTTAAGTATAAAAATCACATTCAAAACCAGTTTGGGAGTAGCTGGGTGAAATGGTTGAGTATATTGAAAGTCCACAAAATATTTTATATTTTGATTATTCAGCTAATAACTGTATTTGGCAACCAAAGAGCTGTTGCCGTCTTGGTTTGTATTTAACTATTTTTAGATCAATCATTCAAAGACTACGCAAGTTTAAATGTTTAATCATCTAAACAACTAGCAAATTGGAAGAGTTTTTCTGCAACAGTTTTAATGATGCTCTCACTCTTTTAGGCTGGATTCCGTTATCCGTGAAATTGTTAATGTACTATTCTGGAAAACTCAAAGTGAGGATTTTTAAAGTGAAGATTGAAGAATAAGATAGGGAAAGTTCCCAAAATAGGACTAAAAAGTTTGAAAATTCCAAAATAGGACTATCATGTTTTTATTCCTAAAATAGGAGTAATTACTGCCAAGTTTGGAAAATACTGTCATGTTTAAGGTCTGATACTGCCAAAACATGGCAGTAATTAGTCCTATTTTGGGAATAAAAACATGACAGTCCTATTTTGGATTTTTCAAACTCTTTTAGTCACATTTCGGGTAATATCTCAATAAGATATGAATGGGTTTCAACTTTCAACTAAAAGTTGGGAATTTCTTCCAAAAAAACACACACTAAAAGTTGACAATTATGATAGTACGGAACTTCGGATGTGTAGCTTGACATTCATGTTTCTTCAGCTATATATTTTCTACAAACTCCAAATCCATTTTGTCGGTCAAAGTCATAGCGTATCAAACATTTAGTTTCACCTTGAAATAATATTTTCTATGATTTGCAAAAAACAATAGTACTTCATAGTTCATACTACATACTTCGTATATTATTACTTATTAGGTAACTCGTATCATTAAGCAAATTCGGCTTATTTTATCCACAGCTTTTATATTTAATCATTTCAAATTAAATTTTACCTTTACTAGACCGGTCTCTATAATGAAATGATAACTGATAAATAACAGCTATATCAAAAAAGAGAAATGACTACTTTTATTTGAAGCTGAAACGACTATTTTTAACCAAACTCCGTTCTATCAGGTGGGTCATTTGCATACTTAAGGGTAGAACTTGGTGACTTTGTGGCCTTCATCGCTGCCGGTAACATCCTTCTCGAATATGTGATTGGGGGAGCAGCGGTGGCTAGATCATGGACATCTTACTTGGCCAGTCTCTGCAATAAGGAGCCTAGTTCCTTCCTCATAAAAGCTCATGGTTTGGCAGAAGGCTATGACAAGCTTGACCCCATTGCAGTTGGCATATGCATAGCCATATGTATGGTTGCAGTGCACAGCACAAAGGGCTCCTCCCGCCTCAACTACATTGCCTCCATTGTCCATATAATTGTGATTTTATTCATCATAGTGTGTGGACTAATCAAGTCCAATTACAAGAATTATACACCATTTATGCCATTTGGTCCACGGGGGGTTTTCAAAGCAGCAGCAGTGTTGTTCTTCGCCTTTGTTGGATTTGATGCTGTTTCAACCATGGCTGAGGAAACAAAAAACCCTGCAAGAGATGTACCAATTGGGTTGGTGGGATCAGTGGTGATCACAACCTCTATTTATTGCTTGTTGGCAATCACTCTATGCATGATGCAAAAATATGACACAATTGACATAAATGCCCCATACTCAATGGCTTTCAAGAGTGTTGGGTGGTCATGGGCTCAATACATTGTTGCCTTCGGAGCTCTTAAAGGGATGACATCTGTGTTGCTCGTCGACGCAGTAGGGCAGGCACGCTACTTGACCCACATTTCAAGAACTCACATGATGCCACCTTGGTTTTCGCAAGTGGATGCCAACACGGGAACCCCCATAAATGCAACAATAACTATGATGACAGCCACTGCAATGATAGCCTTCTTCACAAGATTGGACATTTTGGCTAACCTTCTCTCCATTTCAACCCTCTTCATTTTTATGCTCGTGGCCCTTGCTCTTCTTGTGCGCCGTTACTATGCCACCGGGGTGACAGCACCCCGAGACCGCAACAGGTTTGTTTTCCTTGTCTCACTCATCCTTGCATCTTCGGTAGGTACATCAGCGTATTGGAGTTTAAGCAAGGATGGGTGGATCGGTTATTGTTTAACGACCCCAGTGTGGTTCTTGGCAACTGCTGGCCTTTACTTCTTTGTTCCCCAAGCACGTGAACCAAAGTTATGGGGAGTTCCTCTGGTGCCATGGCTTCCCTCTGCATCCATTGCCATCAACATCTTCCTCCTCGGCTCAATTGATAGACAATCGTACCAGAGGTTTGCAGTTTGGACTGCTTTTCTTCTGATTTACTATGCCTTTTTTGGCCTTCATGCATCTTATGACAATGCAAAGGAGATGGAAAGGAATCAAGAGCCTGGGAAGATCGAGGAAGGAGATGTACCACCTTCAGCTACAATATCTAGTTCTGGATCTCCAAGTGCCACTTGAAATTAGCAAATGGTGCAAACATTCAAGAAACCAATGTTGAGATGAATACAGCTAGCTGGGATATGATTTTTAATGAAGATAAAATTATACTCTAATTAAAGACAAAATAAGAACTGCAAATTAAAACCAAAGTATTCAAATCAACATTTACAAAGATCATAAAACTGTTATAACCGCCAGGCAATTACAATCCTGAAAAATTAGATGTATAACAAATGAAACTAAACCTTTTCAACCAAACCTATTTACTCACACAATCCATGATGTACGTTACTCTGGTGTTTAGCAATTTGCAGTTTAATGTTAAACCAAAAAAACGGGTCAAGAGAATAGGGAACCAAAAAAAGGATTAAATAAAAGACCCGATCAAAACAAAGAATGCCATTCAGGCTACATTAGTGTACAACATGTTGCGGATGATTCTATGTCTCTATCTTCAGAAGGGAGTTGAGGGATGTACTGTTAAAGCGCTGGGCAAGGCCTCGGATAACAAGTACAATTATATCACGCATGTGACGTGTCTGGACTAACAAGTCCGCTTCATTTTCACTGTCGACCACAATCCTGAAACGATGTTGATCATTTCGAAATAGCTCTACCTGCACACAATCGGATTTTTTTCTGCTATTAGATTGTATTCATTTAGTTAATGCAAACTAAAGAGCCACAACCAGCATAGATTTTCATTAATTAATGGGAAAGGCCTAGTTATACCAAAACCACTACATGGCACAAATTCATGGACATCTAATGGAAGTAAATTTAACTGAGATTAAGACTTTGTTGAATTGAGTTTAGCAATACATTCAATCTCAAGGAGAGAGCTATAACGGGTTGGGGTGGTCCGAAACCAGGAGAGAAGTGAGAAGGCAATTATCTTCTTCATCACCATGGCTCCCAAACTAAGCCATACCCTTGTTCCTTTAATTTGTATTCTAACTGAAAAAATCGCATGTATTGTTTCTATTTCAATTACTTTGAATTTATTTGCTATACTTTCTAAGGGTCAGAGGGGCTTCTCAGAACAGGTTGTGCTTGTGTTGATTAACTTACACGGAATGGAGGAGCATAAGTTCCTCGAACTTCAGTTGTGGGAAAGGAGGTTTTAGAACCAGGCTTCACAACCTTAACCCTCTTTCTGTTAACCTCCAAAATTCTTCTCTCAAGGCTTCCTACTCCAGGAACCTGCAATGCATATTTAAATGTATACATATTTGTTTGTGTTTCTCATCACTATGCCCAAAAAATATACAAAATGGGGTCATACTTATACCTTCTTAGAAGATCTATCCTTGTCACACAAGGCCTACAATTACAGAGCACACATAAAATCATGAGTGAGTACAGTACAGTCAATCAGTTTCATTAATCACATCATGCTAGATAAGACCTTTGGTTTGAAGACTGAACATCTGTTCAATTTTACAACACAAGTTTGGTCACATCGGTGGAGGAAGGCATCATCATTTTCATTTCTTTAATAGAATAGAGAAGGGCATGCACGTGAAAAATATTGGAATTGCTTGGAAAATAAACCAAAGCAAACGTTGCTAAAGGACAAATAGAACTCTGGTTCTGAAATTATAACAGACATAGTATGAGAAATTTCTTTCACTCTAGATTGTTTAAGGATTCCTGAACCTTCTATGAAAGTTGGATAACTCTTACTTTGGAGTCCAAATCTGGTTCTGCCCCTGGCTCATGCGATAAAGTGGCTTTTTATTGACCGGAAGTAAAAGAGGAAGAATAGAACAAGGTGTGATTCTTTTGAAAGGGAATTAGGTTGAAGTGCAAGAATAAGATTCAAGTTTTCATGGTGTCAAGTCATTTTGCAAGTGAAAGTTAGGTCTGAGGTTCAAAACTAAGTCCAAGATCAACTTAAGTTTTGACTTCAATGTTCAAGCTCAATTCATCTCAAGAAAAAAGTCAAGGCGATTCATTTTGGGGTTATTATGTTGAATACTACATTTATATCAGGCTTGCCTACCACTTTACCAGAACTAGAACATAACCTGAGAACACAGTACAAAGTGTTTGTTTGGTTATCTCCTAACAATACTTCAAATGAAGTCGTCTACGATTTATTAAGTAGTAGAGACACACAAAAGTTCAGTAAAAGTAAATTCCATCCAGAGTAGCACCTCAAACTTCACTGATCCAATTTCAAGTTTCTGCTTCACTTCTTTAAGAACATCAGGCTCTGCCAAACAATGTTAACATTAGAAGTTGAGTAAGATGTGTTTTTTGTATGGTGGAACTTCGAAAAAATCAAGCGGTCAAACAGAAAAGCAAACACTGCCATAACTCAACAAAATGATGGCCTGATGGGAAAATTCTAAAAGAAGACCCAAAAAATTCTGTACCTATTTACTGCTTATTCTGGTTGGAATCTGAGATCAACCAATACACAGCATTTAAACTTTAGACAGTTTAAAAGGACTATTCATTATAAAAATGGAACCTGGTAACCAAGTTAATATTTTAAGTACCATAAAGTTCTAAAATAAATAAAATGGGGCCAGAACAAAACATAGGATCTCCAAGGGGCGAAATTAACCTAGATGTGATGTACACGCTTATATATTACTTGGTTACCTAGAACAGACATGAAAGATAGCAAACTTAACTACCAAATGGACTTATCTTACAGTGTGCCCATGAATGCTCATCTATATACTACTCGATTGGTTGGAAGTTTGGAACAGACATGTTAAATCAATTGTGAAAGAATTAATGTATATAAGAATATGCTTTAGGAATATACTCTAGACATTATTATTGTATAGCATCTTATGTAGGAATATTCCTTCTTTGTAACCTATATATAGGGCCTTAACCCTCTCATATTACATACAGAAAATCCTTCTCTCCATGTTCAATATCATTCTAGTTTATACTTTGACATGGTATCAGAGCCATCCATTTCAGTTTAATTTTCATATTTTATTTTAGTCATTCATATCTCAGTTTGGTTTATTAGTTTAGTTTACAGCGGGGTTCTTTCTCCAAGAGCTTATTTCAGTCCAGAAACTTCGGAATCCTACCAGATTCTTAATCCATAAAATCAATTAGCTGCTACTTTCCAGAAAATCAATTAGCTGCTACTTTCCAGAAAATCAAGTAGCTGCTAATATTTCAGAAACTCAGTTCAGTTAGCTTTATAGCCCCAGATTCTTCAGACCAGAATTCGAGTCACATCCATAGTCAGGAGGTGCGCCTACCTCAGACGACCCAGCAGCTGAAATCCGACACCGAACTGCAAGGCGAGCGTGCTACACTTTTCTGGCCAGAGATTTGATTGGAACTCTTCAACAGGCTCGGCTGAACTCTACCACCAGGTACACGTTACTTCTCTCTCGTTCTTCCTTTAAAAAAAGGGACGATAGCTGTGGAGGAGATATAGTGGTTGGTCGTTACTTCTCGCCCACTTCTCGCTCGCTAGGGTCTGGCATCGAAGCATCCGGGACATACGCACGTTTGTTCCTGGTCTTGCGTCGCTGGGGTGTGGGATCCGATGTCTGTTAGTCTGATCCGATATCTGGTACTCCGTATTACTTTATTTTGTTGAGGGTCTGGAATCGGACTTTTGTCCGGAATCTGGACTCTGAAGTAACAGTCAAAGCCCAAGCCCAAGCAGATTGGATCTTTTATTCTCCAAGGTCAAGTCCACAAACGGGCTGCTGTAAATTTTCATTGGATATCTCAATTTTGAACGTAATTACATTCTCATAAATAAAAAAAAAAAAAAAAAATCAAAAAAAAAAAGCCAAAAAAAAAAAAAAAATGTCTCGTACAACAGGTCAGTTTGACAAAGGAGTAATATGCAATTACTGCAAGAAGCCCGGACACTTGATTAAAGAATGTAGAAAATTGCTATTCAAAAATCAAGGAAATCAGCTTGCTCATGTTGCTTCCGCTACCAGTTCCTCTGATGGATCAATTGCTATTTCTTCAGACGAGTATGCCAAATTTATTTGCTACCAAGAATCTCTAAAGCATTCCTTTGTTCCTACCTCGGTAGTTGCTAATTCAGGTATTTCAAACACATGTCTTGTTTCATCATCCTCAAAATGGGTTATTGACTCAGGTGCCACAGATCATATGACCGGTAATCCTAGTCTATTCTCATCATTTCATTCATATTTACCTACTTCTAATGTCACTTTAGCTGACGGGTCTACCTCACTCGTCCTTGGATCCGGTACTGTTGTCCCAACATCTACTTTACCATTATCACCTGTTTTGAGTCTTCCTAATTTTGCGTTTAATCTGCTTTCCATCAGTAAAATCACACGTACTCTTAAGTGTTCTGTAACATTTTTTCCTGGATATTGTGTGTTTCAGGATCTGTTAACGAAGCAGACTATTGGTAAAGGACATGAGTCGGCTGGTCTTTATATTTTGGATACATCAATAACAAAAGGTATCTCTTGTCTTGGGGTTGGAACTTTGTTAGAGGCTCATTACAGACTAGGACACCCATCTCTCACACTTATGAAACAGATATATCCTCAGTTTAATAAGGTGTCATCTATACAATGTGAGTCATGTGAATTTGCAAAACATCATCGCACTACTTTAAGTCCCCGACTTAATAAACGAGCCAATGCTCCATTTGATCTTGTCCATACTGATGTTTGGGGGGCATGTCCGGTTGTGTCCAAATCTGGTTTCAAATATTTTGTTACTTTTGTTGACGATTATTCTCGTATGACATGGTTATATTTTATGAAGCGTCGATCCGAGTTATTTACTCATTTCTCTGCATTTTGTGCAGAAATTAAAACTCAATTTAATGTTCCTGTTCGTGTGTTAAGGGGAGACAATGCCCAAGAATATCTATCCGCTCCATTTAAATCTTTTATGCTTCAACATGGCATTATTCATCAAACTTCATGCGTAGACACACCTCCTCAAAATGGAGTTGCTGAAAGAAAGAATCGACATCTGTTAGAAACTGCAAGGGCTCTTCTATTCCAAATGAATGTGCCTAAACAGTTTTGGGCTGATGCTGTGTCTACTTCATGTTTTTTGATCAATCGTATGCCATCTTCTGTTTTGGATGGTAAAACTCCTTATCAATGCCTTTTTCCAAATAAAGAACTTTTTCCCATTCCACCTAAAATCTTTGGTTGCACTTGTTTTGTTAGAAATGTTAACCCTCATCGCACGAAGTTGGATCCCAAATCATTGAAATGTATTTTCTTAGGTTATTCTCGAGTTCAAAAGGGGTATAGATGTTTTTGTCCGAGTACAGGTCGATATCTTGTTTCTATTGATGTCTCATTTCATGAAAATACACCTTGGTCATCATCCAAGACAGATATTCATGAGGACAACGATGAAATACTCATTTACACGGTTACTATACCTGAGACTACCCCTTCAGTAACTATACCGAATGTTCCTATTCCTGACCCCAGACCTCCAGTACACTTGGTTTACACCCGTCGACACAAAGCACCAGATCACCATCCACCTGTGACACCTGTGATTACTTATCCTAATACTAGTCCGGCTTCGATCTCATGTCCTGAACCAGTACCTGCATCTTCAGATCTTGTCTCTACATCAGATCTTGACCTCCCGATAGCACTACGTAAAGGTACACGGTCTTGTACTCATCCTATTTCTTCATTTGTGTCATATAGTCAGTTATCCTCTGCCTCATGTTCTTTTATTGCTTCCATTGATTCTATTTCTGTTCCCAAATCTGTTAAAGAAGCTTTGTCTCATCCTGAATGGCGTCATGCCATGGTAGAGGAAATGAATGCTTTGGATCTTAATGGTACTTGGGATTTGGTAGACTTGCCTACAGGGAAGAAGTCTATTGGATGTAAGTGGGTCTTTGCTGTTAAGGTTAACCCAGATGGATCTGTTGCTCGATTGAAAGCTCGATTAGTTGCGAAGGGTTATGCTCAAACCTATGGTGTTGACTATTCTGACACTTTTTCTCCTGTTGCTAAATTAACATCTGTCAGGTTACTTATTTCACTTGCTGCAACTCATGGTTGGCACTTACATCAGTTAGACATTAAAAATGCATTCTTGCATGGTGACCTTCAGGAGGAAGTTTATATTGAGCAACCTCCGGGGTTTGTTGCTCAGGGGGAGTATGGGAAAGTTTGTCGACTTCGCAAGTCTCTTTATGGTCTGAAACAAAGTCCCCGTGCATGGTTTGGGAAATTCAGTCAATCCATTGAAAGGTTTGGAATGATAAAAGGACAATCAGATCACTCCGTCTTTTACAGACAAACGAAAGCAGGTATCACATTGCTTGTGGTGTATGTTGATGATATTGTGATTACAGGGAGTGATAATGCAGGTATTTTGGCCCTTAAGAATTTTCTGCATAGTCAATTCCAGACGAAAGATCTTGGCTCATTGAAATATTTTTTGGGAATTGAGGTAACACGAAGTAAGAAAGGCATACTTCTATCTCAACGTAAATATGTACTTGACTTACTAGCCGAGACAGGGAAATTAGGGGCAAAACCAAGTACAACACCCATGGTTCCCAACGTGCAACTCACTCAAGAAGGCACACCATTTGAAGACCCAGAAAGATATAGAAGATTGGTTGGAAAGCTTAATTATCTCGCAGTCACTCGTCCAGATATTGCATATTCTGTGAGTGTAGTGAGTCAATACATGTCATCTCCAACCATTGATCATTGGGCTGCTGTAGAACACATATTATGTTACTTAAAGGGTGCACCAGGACGAGGTATTGTTTACCAAAACCATGACCACATGAGAATAGAATGTTTTGCAGATGCTGATTGGGCCGGTTCTAAAGATGATCGAAGATCTACATCTGGTTATTGCGTCTTTGTTGGTGGTAATCTTGTATCTTGGAAGAGTAAGAAACAGAATGTGGTTTCTCGTTCGAGTGCTGAATCAGAATATCGAGCTATGGCACAATCTGCATGTGAGATCATATGGATAAGCCATTTATTGACTGAGCTCGGATTGAAGACATCAATGCCTGCTAAATTGTGGTGTGATAACCAAGTTGCTATACACATAGCAAACAATCCTGTATTTCATGAGAGAACAAAGCATATTGAAGTTGATTGTCATTTTATTCGAGAGAAGATACAAAAAGGTTTGATCTCTACCGGTTATGTGAAGACTGGAGAACAACTTGGAGATTTATTCACTAAAGCTCTAAATGGGATTCGCGTTGAGTACTTATGTAACAAGTTGGGCATGATAAATATCTATGCTCCAACTTGAGGGGGAGTGTGAAAGAATTAATGTATATAAGAATATGCTTTAGGAATATACTCTAGACATTATTATTGTATAGCATCTTATGTAGGAATATTCCTTCTTTGTAACCTATATATAGGGCCTTAACCCTCTCATATTACATACAGAAAATCCTTCTCTCCATGTTCAATATCATTCTAGTTTATACTTTGACATCAATAATATGTTATCTGCTCCTCTCGCAAATTGGATATCAACTACCAAGTTTACTATTTTGTGGCCAAATCGGATGAATCTTATGAAGTGATGATAATCCTGCCCTTCCTTTCATTCACTAACCGAACACCTCTCAATCAAAACACTACGAATCTTATGAAGTATTGATAAGGAAATTCAATGCATATTACAGTAGCAGTAGTAATTGTTGTGATAAACTGGTGAAACAATAACGCCAATTTACCTACTGCAATTGGATCCGTTGATGCAGAAATGGGCTGTCCCTCAACTCCGTCATCTCTTAAAGGGGTATAAATGACCACCAGCCTATATCCCACATCATCAACATTAGCTTCATACATCCTTCCTGACTCCCCTGCGAACATAAAGTGGGGAAATGAACGAACTTCGGCATCTTGATTCGTGAAATCAGTCTTATTGCATTGATGAAAGAATATGCAAAGCAAAAGTGAACAAATACAGTTATGCTCATTACCTTATACCTCTAAAAGTTTATTTAACTAGCTAAGTGGAAAAGGACATAATGATGATGTATATGGTATACCAAGTTTGCACACCCTCACCGATTTAAAAAGTATCAACACTTGTCCAGATTTAGGCAGGTCATGTCAAACTAACATGATAAGATGACTGCACAGTTTTCTCACATTCTGAGGTGTGGTCTCAACAGTATCATAACCTTAAAAAAGATTATTTCAAGTAGGTAGTAGGGACTGGTGCATCTCAAGGATTTAAAACCAAAATGAAGTAGATATTATGAAGTGGAGGAACTAATATTTAGTATTTCACTATACCTGGAATAGAAATGAGATCGGGACTTCCAACCATTGACCTAAGCCACTGAATTTTACTTTTACCCTCCTTTCCACCACTATAAATACCACGAACTGCGAACAAATTAGTGTGAAACCCTCTTCCCTCAATCTCTAGCTTTTCAATTTTAGGCATGCCTGAAAATAAGCATACTTTTATTAGGTTATAGTCATACCAACAAAAATGATAAAGCTAACAAGAGCTAAGAGGGGAAATAATTTGGGATCAAATTTTATAGGTAATGTGTGATAGTGAAATTAGTAAGAACAAAACTCTGCCCCAAAGAAAGGGGAAAGATTAAAAAGTTCACGTTGGGCAAGCAAAAAGAAGAGATGTCTACTTGAAAAGGAGACACAATGACACAATACGGATACTTTTTAACACTTGAACCCCCAAACAGAGAAATTTCTCCCTGTTTAAACCTCAGATAATAATTTTTTTAGAGCAGCACACTAGACCAACCAGGAAAAAAACAAGAAGTAATATTTAAAAAAAAATACAAAAGATGGATGATGAAACCTGCATAACCCGTACAAACCAAAAGTCATTTATCTCCTAAGTAATGATAACTAAAACATAGCGTTTCCGCATATAGTAGCAGTTTCTGCATAAAAACCTGGTAAAATAGTAGTAGTTTCCGCATAAGCTGGATCACTTGACCTTCCAAAAACATCATTCACAATGCATTTACACCTAATAGAATGGCCTATGTCCTCAAACTGAAGCTTGTATGAGCAAGAATGCTGTGATGATAAAGGCTCAAAGGAATTTTCACTGCCCTTTTCAGATGAAACAAACCTGCAGTACATCAATGTATCAAAAGTTTTGATTATCTATTTTAAATATCCAAAAAGATAAATGTTCAATGTGAATACATATATTCAACTATAATTGAAGAAAGTGATAACTCAATAAAAATAAAAATAATAACCGAAGAAAGGTGATAACTAGTATTACTTGGAGATTTGAGAGCCAAACAGAAACCCTTATTAATATATTAATTAATATTATGGTATAGAATTTTTTCGAAAACAGTATTGATTATTACCATCAGAATTAAGCTTAACAAAAGCTATGAGTATGTTCAGGGTAATCATAAATGAGTGGCTGAGCGCTTAAGCACAGCAGATGAGGTGATACCAAGGGTGAGCACTTTAA